AGTTTTGCCTCTTCTCGGTGGTTTTTCCTGTAAGGTGAATCTCCAGTGTCTCTCCAAGATTTTACTTTAGGAGGCACACTTTGTGCTTCCTCCCTCTAGCCACCATCTTAGAATCTCCCTAAGTCTTATTTTAGGTTTAAAAAATTTCATGTACAATTACATGATTTTTGTTGTGTATTCAATATAGTTGAAAAACATAAAATGATTTAAATTGTTTTCAGTCATTCATCACCATTGCACCCATACACTTTTGAAAGTATACATGTGCATGTGAAATACGTTTTATGTGTATCATCTTCAGATTTTCTTAATGCCTATAGAATCTGTAAGTCCTCTTGCCTCAAGTATTGGAAGACATCATTAAAGCTTTAGCCTAGAAATGCCTTACTGAGTCCATATGGTCCCTAATATATTCGTAGATAACTGTATTTTTTAAGATTAGTTGTGATTCTAAACAGCACTTTCAGGAATTATTATAGGAGTCATAATAGCAGATATTTTCAATGATACTTCATTTTCTAATTGATGTAATGATATAGAAATTAAGATAAGTTCTCTGATTTGAATGTTTGATGGAAGTCATTAACCTCTTTGTGTTTCTAACCTTCCAATACATCAATACTGCCTTATACATTTGTTACAGGGATAAAATGTTATACTTGATGGGCCAAATCAAGTTTAGAGTTTTATTGCTTTTGGCCAAAGGTCACTGAAAGATTTAGAGATCTATTTGTAGGCACTGTGGTCTTTAAAAGTTATAAAACATAAGCTTTTAAAAAAGATTCTGTGCATAAAAACACTTCATGTTTTCTGGAGCGAATAGCTAAGTAGTCATTAACAAGTATATCACCAATAATTTTAATTGTAATGTCAAAAACAGCCCCTGTTCTATGTCCCACCTCATGCAGTCTCCTTCTGATTCCAAATTTCATAAACTTTCAAAAAGATTACCAAACTTGAAAACTACTGTTTTTGTGGTAATATTTAAGAAATATGAAATATAACATTTATCATTAAACTAGTTACCTTAAAAGCAAAAACATTGCATAACTGAAAAAGCATTTATTATTACATAAACCTTAAAATGATTTTGGTAAACCTAAATGAACCAAAGAGGCCAGCAATTTAAGAACCCTCTAAGGGGTAGTGGTCAGAGTGTGACAAAGGTATACACAAAAGAAAATAAGGGATCTCTCATTACACTTTGGCTTGATCTCAAATTATTCCCAACATTTAAGTTTTTTAAATGAAGGCCTCTTGTTATTGCCAATATGTACATACTTTTACTTGCTTGCATTTGATGATACTATGAGAAACAGAAACTTTTACTTCTAAGGTTTTGAAAGTATACAAAACAGTTAATTAAAGCCCTAAATGATTTTTAATGAAATGAGAGTAAATGCAAGTATCAAGAAGTCCACCTTGATTGAAATACTCATAGAATCTCTGAAATTTGAATAAACACTAAAATCTCAACGAAGAAAAGAAAGCATTTTATTTAAGGAATAGATGAAGCTATAGAATACACAGACATACAGAAACTCGCATACTCCTTCTTACTACAAGGTCAATGTGAGGGCCTCTGTACACCTGCCACATTCCAGCCTCAGCTCTCCCTCTGGGCTTCCACCAGCTGGCCATTGCTCCTCAGTTGAGCAGGCCTTTCAGGAAGGTAACAGAGAGGGCAGATTGAAAAGGTCAGAATTAAAATTCCACACATGCTTATCAAGTACTTACCCATCATGTGCCAAACATCCTTCTAGGCCATGACAAGCTCCCTGAACCACAGAATTTAAGAAACTTAATGAATCAATAATAAGGGCTACAAAGCAAACCAAATATGGTAGAGGTGGTAGAAGGAAGGCCTTGCTGAACTGAAGTCTAGATGAATGGACAGAGAGCCCTGGAGGAAAGAGAATAGTGTACTGTGGACCAAATTAACCTCCCTCAAACTCACTGTGCTAAAGTTCTAATACTCAATGTACCTGTCTTTGGAGATGGAGTTCATACAGCAGTAATAATGGCTAACTGAGTAACTAAGGACTGTGGTCCAAGTAAGAAGAGGAAGAGACACGAGGGCTCACTGTCTGCACCCAGAGGAAAGTCCCTGTAAAGAGGCAGTGGGAAGGTGGCTGTCCACAAGCCAGGACAAGAGGCCTCAACAGAGCCAATCATGGTGACACCTGATATTGGCCTTCCAAAAATGGAAATCTGTGTTGTAAGCCACCTAGCTTCTGGCATTTTGTTATGGTGGCTTGAGCTGACAAAAACCTGAGTATTCAAGAAAATATTTTTAAAGGGGAGGGAGTGAGGCCAGGCCAGCCTGGAGAACAAAGTCACCAGTGACACCAGAGCATGGTGCCGCTCAGGAGAGCTGTGTGTAGTGAAGGCACCACAGCACTTATCACGGAGGCACTACTAGGACTTCTCTTTCTTTTTCAAAACTTTTGAGATTAGGAACCAATTAGGTGCTCAGTATTTGTTGTTGAAAGGCACATTATAAAATGAAAGAGGGAAAACAAATCTGGTGATAAGTTACAGAGGAGAGACACAAAATATGATGTCAGAGTAAGCAAGAAAATAATATGATAGAAAACATACTCCAGACAAGCCATTTATAGAAATATTAATATTAGATTAGACTAAGACAAACTGCATTAATAATGACAAAGAGGATAAAGACATGAGGAAAAATGGAACAATTCACCAGGGCTCTGCAGCAATGCTGACCCTCAGTGTGCTTAACAACAAAGCCTGAGAGGCGGCACCACGTCGGGCATCCAGACTGCGTGGGCTCGAATCCCACTCCAGCACTTATTAGCTACAGACCTCCAGCAAACTGTGCCTCAGTCTCCACATGTTACACGTTGGGGTTCTGGCGGCACCACCTGGAGATGTGTTAGAGGCACAAGAGCAGTGGTCCCAGGGTCTGGTATCATAAGCACTGGCATTATTGTTGTGGGTATCCTTAGCAGTGTGTGATCCTGAGAAAAACATTCCAAGAAAAAGTGGCATGCCAACAACCTTGTTAGGAAATTTTTAACTTGTCTAACTAAGATAAATACAAGCTTGAGGAGGCTTGAGAAAGCTAAAAGAGAACCTGCAATAAAATATTTAAACAAGCTGTCTTACCTTTTAAGTCATTACAGCAAATAAATGAATTAACCCAAAGTAAATAAAACATAATCTACCTAAAAAAACTGCAAAATAAAAGTAAAATATAAATGTAAAACAACCAGAGACCATAAGATTACAGAAATTAAAATAGGAATAGCTGTGAATGTAAATGAACTAAGATTAAAATGCAGACTCAGATCAGATCTAAGTATAAAATGTAATGATTTGCTCATTATAGAGGACACATATAAGTGTGACAGTGGTCTAAAAGAAAATGAGCAAAATATATTAAAAGTGTAAATAAAAATATTGAGCACATGACATTTTTATTATGAAACTGGGTTACAAGGTAAAATTATAGATAACATTGTACAATTAGTAGTTGAATGATGTAGCAATACATTTTTCAAGGTATACAAAATAGTGCTCATGAAACATTTTCAAATGCACAAAAATCCTTGAGAAAATTAAAATTAGTAGATAGTCCATAAGCTTCTATTGAATAAATTTTGTACATTCACAAGGAATAGAAAGTAAAATTGAGGTCTGTATTACACCTACATTTGGGATTCATTTTTCTAAGGTCCAGTTCCAGAAGACAAGCTGAACACCAGCTCTTGCCCAACTGGACTCTCTCTTCATGTCTAGCCCCTTCTGAACATGCATTGTAAATGGGAAGGTCATGAGAATACTATAAACGGACCTCCTGCTTGGGGAACGGCAGGGAATTTGAGTCGCCCAGGCTCAAAGTGATTCAGGGAGGTGTTAGGTTCATAAACAGTAACTCATACCCTGGGCCAGCAGGCATGTGCCTCGAGACTCCAGAAGGCTAAGAAGAAACTGCAGGCTATTTGAGGCAGGAAGCGTCTCAAAGCCACTCACTTAGCCATTTGAACGTGAGCACGTTGCTAGGACTTGGAAACCAGGGACATTGGCACCTCTTACTAGAAACCACACATCCCTTTCCTTAAGTAGGAGCAGTCTTTCTATCCATTATGTCACTATCGCTTCTGTCACCTTGCTGGCGGTAAGTCACTGGAGTGCCTGGGCAAGAACAAACCTACATGTGTTAAATTCCCAGTTCACCGTCTGTTTTCTTGCTCCAGAATGTGATCCCCATCCTCTGATGGTGCTGGGTGCTAGCCACAGCAGAGCTCTGGCAAGAGGTGTTACTGAGGGCGAGGAATGGAGCAACGGGAGAGATACGTTTCTGCTCTCACAAGAAGCAGGCAAGGGGAGATTTGGGACGTTATGGTTTTGAGGGATCAGAGATCCAATTAGGTTCAGCCTACTCTTTGTTTTCCATGTGTTTTTTCTTGAGGGCACCACCACTCTCCTTGCCATGCAAGCTGCAGGGAATCATGTGTGACCCTCACTAGCTTATTGTCCTGGTCCAAAGGACCTGAGACTTCACATTGCTGTCCTTCGTTATACGTCACAAAAAAACCATGAGCGTGTATTCCCTATTACATTCTTGTTAGACCACTGGATGCTGACCTATTTCATCTGGGTTTTTTTTCTTTCATTTTGTTCTTACATGTATCTCTTCAGCATACATACTATGGGCTGCTTGATTCTTTCTCAATATCGCATTTATGCCAAATGGAAAAAAATTAACAAAAAGAAACAAATTCTTAGTATGCTCCCAGTGTAGATTATATGCAAACAAGAAGTTTGACTGTTAAGATTTAAGAGTCAACGATTTTAATGTCGTCGCAAAGAGATGACATAATGACGGGCTGCATGTGCAGGGGTCAGTTGAGCCTTCCTGACGTGCAGAAGAACTTGGTTGTTCGCAGCTGGGGACAGAGCTTCTAGCTAGCCGGGCTGCACTTTGTGCCATCCTTGTTCTCACGTGTTGCTTCCTCTCTCTCTACTTCCAGGTGGAAATTGAGAAGCTGGATTACCATCATTATCTGCCTCTGTTTTTTGATGGGCTTTGTGAAATGACATTTCCCTATGAGTTTTTTGCTCGGCAAGGAATCCATGACATGCTGGAACACGGGGGGAACAAGATTCTACCTGTCATTCCACAGCTCATTATCCCGATAAAAAGTAAGTGAACAAGTGAAAAAGCATCACTCAGTTATTTTGGTGCCACTTCTTGACAACTTGCTAATTAAGCAATAAAACACAACAGACTGAGGCCATCCCCAGGTTTTGTGGAAATTTTTATAAATTGACTTACGAAACCAGACAACCCAAATATCTGAAAATATATCCCATCATGGATACTACACTAGGGCTTAACCACATAAATAAACTAACCAGTGTGAGGTTTGCACTAATTTAAAATGCTTCGTGGTAATGACCTGGTCTCTATACTAACTTGTACATTCAGAGGTAAAGCATGTGACTTGTGTGTGCACTGCTGGTAACTCCCAAGATCGTTCTAAATGGCATTCCTAAATTTGAACCATGATAGAAACACGGTTTCGTTAAGTGCCTTTTAGGTAGTAGGATTCATAATTTTAAGGAAAGAAGTCTGGAATGGAGAAAAGGTGCGTTTGTAAGACCAGGACATTGTTCTTCTTCAATAGCTTGCTGTGGTGACTCTAGTGGAAGGCCGCCACTGGCTTTATCTTTCTGTGACACGAGCACAACTTTTCTATGCAGTGTTCTCAGACACTCAGCTTGTGTGAAAGCAGCCCCCTTCACCAGTGTACCTCAGGTGGCTCCAAGAGACACCCCGCCCACGAGGCCTTAGACCAAGCCCTGTAGTTGTTTTCTGCCCAGTCTTCCTGTCTTCTGCCCAAACTGTGAGAGACGACCCTAATAACAGAGCCACCACTGGGCAGCCCGGCATCTACCATGAAGACTCAGAGAGGATCACCTGTCCTCAGCCCAAGAGCCAGGCCTGGCTCCTCGCCACCCACTTCCACGCCCAATGTGACTTTCCCCAGAGCCTCCACTGCCCCACCTAAGGTTGGTGGCTGCACATTTTGCTGTCATCGCTAATTAAAAGGAGGAGGTCAGTGTCTCTGAGTACACTGTGGAGACAAAGTTCCAGTTTTTCCCTAGCCACTTGGGTATCTCCATCTCTTGGTGCTTGGCCCAGCTACCCCATGGCTTCTGAAGGATGTCAAGGCCTCTGCTACCACTTCCCCAACCTCAGCCTCATCTCCTATTCCAGGATTAGCAGTGTCCCCAAGAAGGAAAAGAAGACCACCTTATCTCCTTAGGCTTTCAGGATCTGGGGAGCCTTACCCAACGGTCTTAGTGTGCTCTGGTCACATGATGACAACAAATGAGTTCAGATTTGGATCATTTCTCCAATGTCATGGTCCCCTTGGACTGATCTGAATTGAGCATCCTGCTTTCACTGTTCAAATTGGTCAAATTGGAAACTAGCTCTCCTGTCTTTGAGATTTCCACAGAGATATTACCAGGCACCTTTCCACCAAGAGAGGGAGAGTACAACCAAGCAAAAGGACATAAATGTGATAACATGAAAAGTAACATGGCAAGAAAAGTGACCCTTTAAGAGGGACCTCATTAACCAGCAGCTGCCCCTCCCCCCATGCATCAGCTGAGTGAACAGCAATCTTCAGAAGGCCTTCCGGAAAGAGAAAGAGGACCGAGTGTGTTAAGACCTTTTGCAAACATGGTTTATCCTCTTGAGTGGGTCATGTTTTTAAATAAGTTAAATTCTACTTGAAATATTCATTTCTAAAGGAGGTTATGCAAGTTTCACTGAGAAACAAAACAGGGCCAGAATGTTCTTTTCAGGAACTGTCTGTCCTTTTCCTCTTGCACCCATCAGAATAGCAACAATATCTAGATCTTTGTCTCTTTCTTTAAAATAAACGCTTCATATTAGGATTGCTACCTTCTCAAGAGTCCCCCACCCTCCACACTCAGGTCTGCAATGAAGACACTGAAGGCCAGAGAGAGTGTATTGCTACAAATATTTTGAATAGTTTTTACAATTAAAGCATATCAAGTAAGAGGGCGACAAGCCAAGGTGAGGTGACTTTCAAATTTGTTTGATCTGTATTTGAAGACACAGAAATGAATTAAGAAAGAAGTGATGCGTTATAAGGACAAAACTGACAGTCTACACATGGTAGAGGTCATTTGCTGACGACTGAAAACATTATTAAGAACTCATAAACCTGATTTGTCAGGGAAAATTAACTAAATATGAATTTGATAATTTAAGGTTCCAGCAGCCGGGATGATTTATCTTGGTGGATCTTGTTGCTTGGCTGCCTGGGCTTTTGTTATTGTATACTGATGCTGAGTCTAATTCTGCTTCTTTCCTCTCAATCTATGTCACTAAAAGCCAAACTTTTCTCAGGAAGAAATGCTGGTTAACCATGCAAGACCATGCACAGTTCCAGCACGCTGTGCAAAGCATCATGTGCATAAGCTAAGTCTTTCGGGTAGAATTCTGGTATGAAGCTAATTGATGGAGAAGCAGGCTGATGTGCGTAATCGGCAGAACACATAGCTCTGGGTGCACCTTATTTTCAAACCATATTATTAGTGTAATTTTCACTTTATCCAGGGGCAGAAAATTAACCTCACCATCACCAGCTAGCAGTTCTAATTAATCTCCACGAAGGCAAAGTAAAAGAGATAAACTCAACTGTGAGGCAGAGAGCTGAGATTACCTGGCCCCATCCCTACCCCAATCTGGGACTGACCTCAACAAATTAGAAAGCAATAATGCTAGGACGAGAAAGGGACACAGTAGTGGCGCTAGAGGTTCCCAAATGAGCAAAAGGGAAGAATACATTTTCTTTTTTCCTCCTGCTCCCTCATTCAAGACTCAAGGTTTACCTAGCGTGGTAGCTAGCATGCGCCTACAGTTCCAGCTACTTGGGAGGCTGAGATGGGAGGATCACATGAGCTCACAAGTTCAAGACCAGCCTGAGCAACACAGTGAGATCCCCATCTCAAAAATGAAAGATGACCCTAAAGTTTCGTAATAATCGAAACAGCATACACTACCTGCACTCCATTTCTGTTTGCTTCCTCTTTCTGATTACCAACTTCTTGAGCTATTCTGGGTAGAATTCCTCCAGATCTGTCTCCACCTAGCAGAGCAACACCAATAGAGTGTCAGAATCTGTGCATATTAAATTCAGGAGTGGATTCAAACAGTGGTCAAGAAGACAGAGAAGGGCAAGAGAAACCTACAAACCGTGTCTTCTTTGCTAAAAGAAACAAGAATAACACCATAGCTTCAGGGGACCATTTGGGGAAAAAAAAATCTCTACGTACAGGGAAGGAGATATCTTATTCACTTAGAGGAAAGGAATACCTCAACAACTTTTAGTATTGGAACCAGAAGAAACTTGTACAATCTTCTTTGAAATTCTCAGGATTCAAAAATATGTGGCCTCTGTGAAACAGAAGACTGGACTCAATGCAAATAAACTACTTTAAATAGGATGATGAAAAGTAAAAGGGCCAGAATAGACCTGAAATCTCCATAGAGGTATAGAGAGAAGGCAGCAGTCTTTAGACTGTCTCAGAAAAGAATATTAAAAAAAGAAGAAGAGAAAGGAGAATAAATGGAGGATCTAAGACTCAAACAGAAGCTGCAATTATGTATTTCCAAGAGGAAGTATCAGACAACAGCCAATGGAGAGGTTAATAAAAGATATTTCCTGAGAGGAAAAAGAACTCTTATGAGTAGAAGAGGCTTACTGTAGTCTAAAGAAAATCACTGAAAGAGGCCCATGCCAAGGTATAGTTTACCAAATAAATAAACAAATAGCATCAAAGAAAAGCCCTTCAAACATATGGCAGGTGATAGAAGACTGCACACCAAGAAATAAAAAAAAACTGGGCTAAACTTCTTGCAGCAGAAAATCCCAGACAACATAGCACTGGTTGGGGGTAGGGGGAGAACCATCCCAGGTACTGTTTCATCCCAGTCCAGGGAGTAAAACAGTCTATGAACCCCAGAACTTCAGCATCCACCTTCCTGTACATAGCTTACCGAGGATACACCCCAACTCCAAGAAGGTCAAGCAAGTGCAGAGCCCTAACTGAAGATGTTGTAGGTTAAAAAATGGGGAACACTGGAAGAGTCAGTACACCTAGACTTCTGTCTAAAGAGTTGACAGAAGAATTTCAAAACTGTATGAGCGATCAATTATTTTGTGATAGTGACTCTAAAAACCTAGAGAGACTGCAGTCTAAAGCCTTCAAAGTCAGTAGAGAAGATCAGCCATTTAAGCAGTGGCTATGTGTTAAAAGGACAAAAATTAAGTAGTCAGCAAGGAAGTACCAAGAACCAGAGCACAAAGTGAGATGAAGAATGTGAAACCAACTGTATCAGCTATGAAAATTAACTTTCAAATCAGTTATATTCAAACTGAATATAAACTTATTTATTAAAATATTAGTAATTAGTAATATTAGTAAAATATTAATAAATTCAAAAATGAAAGATATATTGGGACAAATGTTTAAAAGGCAGGTGAACTTAATGCAAAGAGGTTTCAAATATGTAAAGAGGATCGATTTATATTGATTAAATATAAATAGATAAATGAAAAAGGATTTAATCATTATGGCTTTCTATGTATTAGCATCTAGGACATCACGTTTGAGAAATAATCAGCTGCTTATACTGATATTTTCTGTCTCTGGAGGAAGAGTAGACTTCTTTATCATTTTTCTTGTTAGGACACTTAGTTTGCAGGGCTGCCAACCACCTTGTACAAGTTTGATTGCATTCCACTCATTTTGATGGTAGGTTTTTCCTTTGCACTGTATAATAAATATTTTGTATTATATTTTTGATTTATTCCTTGATTTGAAATATTACATTAAAATATCTTAATATTTTGGCATTTAGTTTGTATTATGATTTAATTGGTATTTATTGCTTTGTGAGGAGAGAATGTAGCCTTCCCTGTAATTACATTTCATTTCTTGAAAGAGACTCAGGTTTCCATTGGGCTCTAAGAAATGATCATGGTATCATTATTCCCTAGAGGAGGAAAAGGAAGGACATCCTTGATACAGGATCGATTTTAATACAGACGTGTTCTTTCAAATGTGTTGGCATTATTAAAGTCACTTACACATCGCTT